TGGTGGCGATGGAGGAGTGTAATCGCCATGAAATAACGAATCGGCACCGAATTCGATCAGCGAGAAATCGCCCGGATCGAGAGATAAGGAAGGGTTTAGAGTGAAGAAAGTTAAAATGGTACATATGAACAAAGTTTGGGCCATTTAGAGAAGAGATACTCATTACATAGGCAAAAATGAAATTGGAGCGGTGTCAAGTGTGTGTCGCAGTGAATTGAATTGGATTGTGGGTTTGATGAAAAGGGAGTAAGTGAAGAGTGTAAATGAAGAAAGTTTCTGGCAATATTGAATTGGTATTGGAGGAAAAATGGTGAGAACCTGAAACAAACAAAAACTAGGAAAGAGAAGTAGAGTGTGCAGAGAACTCAACAGATGGACACTGGACAGTCAAGCCGGAGCACTTGTGGGACGGCAATGTCAGTTTTGTTAATACGGGCCATGCACACTCTTTTCAGGCTTTAAAGCTGGACCTGGGCCTCGTAAATGGACCGTTTCTCCTGAAAGCCCAAAGGTCATATTAATGAGAAATATTCTGAAAATGCGTTTGGTTCAGAGAATGTTGGATTACTGAAAATTAGATTACCTTGAAGATTACTGAGAATCTTTAAGAAAATGTGTTTGGTTAGTTGGTGGATATGTTATATTAATATGTTTGGTTGAGATGAATAAATTGGTGGGTATATTATTTAAATTATTGAATTGTCCTCTAATTAAATTATATTATTATATTATTTTTTAATATTGATTATTATTTAGATTCTTATAACCCCCTTGCATTTAAAAACTTAGCAAAAATAACCCCATAATAAAAGTTTGGACAAAGCACCCCCACCAACCCAGCCACTACCGACCGTCGGCAACCATTGCAGGTCATCGGCAACCGGCAACCTAACAGCACACGAAAGGTATGAAATGGCCTCCGTGCACTGTATGACCATTTTCGGCCAGAGATCTAGCCAGATTGATGAAGGATCTAGCCGTCAACGGTCATATTTGTCACGATTTGGCCGTTTTCGGCTAGATATCTGGCCGAAAATGGCCATATCGACGTACAGTGGTCATTTCCGGCCTTCTGTGGGACGTTCTAGTAGTGGCGGTGGTTGGCCGCGACGGTGGTTGCCAGCACCAGGTGACGGCAGGTGGGTAGGGGTGGTGGCTTGAGTGAGCTGCAATTTGTTTTGAATTCAAAGGTAATTTTGTCCAAAAAGTTAATTAATTGGGGTGAAATAGTAAAAGCCATATTCATGTAAATAAATTTAAAAATAAGGGTATTATTGCCCTAAAATTTTATTAATAAGGAATATAAATATAACAAAAAAAGATTACCCTAATACTCTTAGAATACCTAAGAAAATAGAAGTAATTAGATTATCTTCAATATTATCAACAATAACTACTATTTATATTTAAAGATTATTAGAATATTATATTATTTAACAACCAAACATGATAAGATGACATAATTCTAACAATCTCACGTTACATTCAACCAAACGCCCCCTTAAATGCATTCCAAATATTTCTTTCTAAAATTGGTTTCAACCCATAGACAGTAATATCAAAATACATGCATTTAAGGCCTTTTTTATTTTTCACTTTTGGAATGTAATTGACTGTGATTTGCTGTCTTAATTAATTCCCCTTTTTCTTTTTTTTGTCTGCAAATTTATTGCTACCAGATTACAAATTAAAATTAGCAATAAATTAAAATTATAAATTAATTATTTGGAAAATTAATTAAATAGATTTAAGCAATTCGGTTTATTCTTAAATAACCCAATTTTGGATGCAGCTGGTANTTGATAACCAGATGTGTAATAAGTAAGATGATATAATTCCAATAATCTCACGTTATATCCAACCAATCGCCCTTAAATGCATTCCAAATATTTCTTTCTAAAATTGGTTTCAACCCATATACAGTAATATCAAAATACATGCATTTAAGGCCTTTTTTATTTTCCACTTTTGGAATGTAATTGACTGTGATTTGCTGTCTTAATTAATTCCCCTTTTTCTTTTTTTGTCTGCAAATTTATTGCTACCAGATTACAAATTAAAATTAGCAATAAATTAATTATTTGGAAAATTAATTAAATATATTTAAGCAATTCGGTTTATTCTTAAATAACCCAATTTTGGATGCAGTTGGTATTGGAATTGCCCCCAAATGTTATGTTATTATAAGGTTACATTGAGCATTGCTTGATAGTCGGATAAAAATTAAGAATAATACTATACATACATCATTCTCATACAACACTTTTCATACAATATTATATGACAAAATATGATTGGGTGAAAATTTAATTTTAACTTTAAATTAGTCAATCATATCTTGCCATATAATATTATATGAGAAATATTGTATGAGAATGATGTATGTGTAGTATTATTCTAAAATTAATATATTAAAAGGGATTACATAAAAAAAACATATATATAGTTATTAATTAACTATTGAAATAATTAGTAAACCACTAGGGGTCATGTTTGGTTCGTGGAAAAATAATATATATTAGGAAGGAGATTACATTGTTTGCTTGTAATAAAGAATCTTGAAGAAATGGAATATAATTTATTTTTCTCTACAAAAATACCCCCAATTAATATTAAATAACATTTTATTTAATTAAAATTTTCAAAAATTTAACAGCTTAAAGTTCTAAACATTTACAAAGTTCAAAAAACTTCAAAATTCTTAAGTTGGTCAACACCGGTCCAAGTTACTGGTCGATGACTTCATGTCACTCTTTCGGCATCACCGTCGGCACATAGAAAACGAGTAGTCAATGATATATTGATCTGGGTAGATTTTGGTTGCCAAAGTCGACATAGTGATGACACACACAGTGGCCATACAGAATGCCACTGCACGTGACATCATTGCAATGGCTTTAGATGGCGGCAATCAATCTAGATCAGTAGATCGTTGGCCTCTAATTGTACACACTACACACGCCGACAATGATATCGAAAACATGAAGAAAATTTGCCGTCGATGACTTTTATGGCGATGAATGGTTGTTTCCAACACCAGCACCGATGGTGGCAAAGCAGTAAATATGTTTGATTATTTTAATTATTAATAAATTATAAAATAATCAAATCAGGGATAAAACGGAAAATTAAAATTTAGGAAGGTTAAAGCAGACATTTTATTATCTCATTACTAGCAATGGATGGCATTCCCACATTTTTAAGAATAGGAGTCTCGTTCCAAGCTAAGATTAATTAAACCAAACAATGGGATGGATATTATATTCCCATTCCCATGTTGATTACTGTGAAGCAAACACATCCTCGGTTCCACTTCCACTCGAAGGAAGCAGAGTAGAGAGATGACCATTCTAATTAGGGTAGTATTACACTTATAATCCAAACTGACAAACTTTCTCTTATAATTATGATATAGCAACTCGCAATTAGTCAACTCGTAAAAGATCTTGTTTGTCTAAGAATGAGTCTTGTCTGTCTAATTGCGAGTTACTACGTTAGGTTATGAGAGAAAATTTGTAAGATTAGTTTGTGAGCCAATTTTTATTGTTTAAATTAATAATTCATTTTTTTATATGCATTACACATAATTAAATAACACTAGATAATTTATATCAGCCAGGTCGCTGCCTTTTCTTCAATCCAGCATGCCTTAATTCTCCAAGCTGGAAAGTTTCACCATTTCAGCTTTGCAGGGAAATACTGAAAAAAAAGTTAGGAAGGCAATTATATTAATATAAGTTGGTGAATTAAATAACCTCGCCAGCCACAATAACAGGAAATGCACTCACTTTCTCAATGAGGGAAAGATAGTATATATAGCTTTACTGCTTCAACATCAACAAGAACTTTGCTCTTACTATACAGATCATATTGCTGCACATGATTTTATATTTATAATGCACAAAACTATAAAGTATCATTGAACTGAAAGGAAGGCAATTGATAAACCAAATTTAAAGAAAATTATCTAATCTCTTACTTGAATACATGGAGCCACTTCAGGTTCTCCTTGTCCTCTTCGTTCATGAGGTGTGTACGTATATATATGCTCCCTCCTTGTGTAATGCTGAAAAAAATATAAAAACAAATAAGTTGGAAATGTCAGAATATCAATTGGAATGGAAATTTAAAAAGAATAAAAAAGATGCTTACGGTAAAAGGAGTGATATCGAACAATGAACAATCCAGCCAAAGGTAGAGTTGTCTCCATTTTCCTTGCCCACCTGAGCATTTCAAAACTTGAACTAGTGCTCTGATTCTGATTTCATGACCAAGGCTTATTAAAAGAAGGTTGAAGATATTACCATGTATATGTAGTCATCATGTCCCCATGATATAATCATAACATTGTCTAATCCACATCCTTCCGAGTAAATTCCATTGTTGGTATTATATGCAGGATTGTTATAGTCTGGGTTGTCCTTAAAATACTGCAGCAGCAAATATTTGGAAATTGTCTCGCACAGATGAATATTAATTCTAATTAACACTAAGCTACAATACAAATTTGGTAAGTTTAATCAAATTCCAGTCCAGGATAGAAACTATAAAAACCTGGTGCTGAACATTGGGTTCGTAAAATGCGCATCCAAGTGGGAAAGTATCTCCCACAATATTTACATCAGTCTAAAAATGAAATCTTTCAAGTCCTCGAATGATAATCTTAGTTTTCTCAACAGACAAAAACAAGGCTCCATGCTGTACACCCAATAAGCTGTTAATTACCTAAAAATAAACCTTTCTTTTACCTGGAGTTAATTAAGCATGTTAACACCATGGCTTGTGACTCTTATCAACTATTTGTAATATAATCGGTAGTGCTTGATTGTTAGGCTATTTCTTTCAAATATTATCAGTATTATTCAATTATTAAAGTTTTTAAAATAAAAAACAAACAGGTATCTTTATTTATTTACGACAACTTATCAAATAGTAAGTAAAACATCAGGTAACACCTGCCATCTTCATCATACAAATATATTATACTGGACAATATTATTGTAATCTGTACATCACAGGCTGCTGTCTTTATTTAATCTATAAGTATTTTTAATCCTCCGAGCTGCGAGAGCTTCACCATCTCAGCTTTGCAGGAAAATACTGCAAACAAAATTAAATTCAGATTGGTAAAAATGAACTCACTAGCCCAACGAAAAAACAGGAAATATTGTACTCACTTTGTCGATGAGGGACTGATAGTATGGCTTCACTGCTTCAACGTCAACAAGAACTTTGCTCTTACTGTACAGATCATATTTGCTGCACATGAATTTAAATTTAATCGTCATTGATGCTATGGGAAAGGAAAAAAAAGTTAACCAAATTTGTAGAAAATAATAATAAAATTAAAACTTACTTGAATACTTGGAGCCACTTGAAGTTTTCCTTGTCTTCTTCATTCATGAGGTGTGTATATGCGCCCTCCTTGTGTAAAGCTGCAAAATTATGAAAATAAAATAAATATTCCCATTAGGTCAATTAATAGATGCATATTTATGAAGAATTAGTGAATTGATATTGCTTACGGTAAAAGGAGTGATATCGGACAATGAACAATCCAGCCGAAGGCAGAGTCGTTCCATTCTCCTTGGCCACCTGCGAATTTCAAAACATCAGTTAATGGTCCAATTATAGTTCTTAAGAAACTGCTCTGATTGTGATATCACCAATTAAGAATAGTTAAAAAAACGTTGAAGATATGTTACCATGTACATGTAATCGTCATGGCCCCACGATATCATAACATTGTCTAATCCACATCCTTCCGAGTAAATTCCATTCTTGGTATTATATGCAGGATTTTTGTAGTCTGGGTTGTCCTCAAAATACTGCAACAAATATTTAAAAAATTTCTCGTATACACGAATATTTCTAATTAACACCAAGTTACAATACAAGTTTAATGCTAAATTTAACTCAAGGAGAAACTAAAAACCTTGTGGTGAACATTGGCTTTGTCAAATGCGCATCCAAGAGGGAAAGTATCTCCTACAATAACGAAATTGACAATTTTATTCATTAAATTACTATGAACTAAATTACAAATGACCTAATTTCATCCTTGAGTTTAATTAAAATATAGTACTCACCAACAACAGCCCATTGAGGGAGCCCACCAAATTTAGGAAGAGTAAGAACCTTTCCCAGATCTGAAAACAATGCATGATCCAGTTAATATTGTATGTTGTTTTCATCTGTCTCTCAAAGGGATAGGGCTCATTTGACTTAAAGACCATAAGGGAAACTATTGAAGCCTGACCAAGTCAAAATGTTCTTATAATAATATCAATTAATATAGCTGGCAAAATAACCAAAGAATAACCATGAATGAGAGCAGTCAAGTGCAACCAATCTTCATCAGGATAATCCCTTCTTATGGCTTCAGCAGATTGCAACAAGTGCTGAATTTGAGGCTCATCCAAGTCAGGATCGCTTTCATCCACAACTTCATTTAGAAGTTCACAGCATTCCCATATGCTCATTTCCACTTTGTTCAATTTCCCGTACTCTTCCCTTATTTTCTTAACCTGAATTTTTACATAAATCATATCAGAATATATTCATCAATATCTCGGTTACACGTACAAAATTAATTGTGTATGCTTACAAAGTCATATGTTTGGTTAATATGCTGCAACCGATAAAATTCTTCAACAGTCTTTTGCCTTTCACTTTCTGCGTTGTAATCCCTATAAGACGTTTCCATTTCTCACTGTAAGATTTCTTTCATTAAGAACCAACCCTAAATTTATTCATAAAATTATAATAGTGGATTTGAAAATAATAATAATAATAATAATAATAATAAGACCTGAATGTTTGGCCAAAGGAATTCATCTCTGGCGCCACAAATCCATCACTTGACACAGATTTTTCCTGGTCCTCAACTTGTTGAACTGGAATTAAAGGAGATGAAAATATAACATTAATAATACGAGGACAAGTGATCCAAATCCATATTCATCGATGAAATATTCATTAAAAACCTCAATAAAAAGAAAGTTACCAGGGACAGGGTTCTCAATGAGGATAGTCATCTTCGCTTATAATTGATATTAATTATACACGATCTGAAATAACAACACAGAATTCTCACAAATGGCTGTGACAAATAATATTGCAGGAGGGCACTTTATAGTAGTTCAAAAGAGTCCTTCATTGATATTTGGAAAGTTTCTTGTCCTTATAGAATCTAAAAAAGAAGTCTTTCGAGTCCTCAATTGAAAATCTTTGTTTTGCTCAACAATTTTACCCAAGAGAATAGTTCGGATTTGAAGATTCGAAAAGCTGTTAGAAATAAGACTACACTAGCTATCAATAAAATCGCGTGTATGACACCCTCCAATCAGAACAATTTCTCCAATTACCTGAATAGAAACCTCTCATTTACTTGCGTTAGATATATCTTCTAATCCTGATTAGATTACACGTAATTTAAAAATAACAAATTAGTGTAAACGTAAGGCAAAATTAAAATTTTATCCAAATCTTTTGATAAGAATTGTAAAATCAACAGCTGGAATAAAGACTGTAATGGCATTATTTGGTTTTCATAACATTTATAGCGTTCTTTTTCGTCTGTATCTACTAACCCATCAATGTAATTTCTAAATCGGGCGTTCTTTTTCGTCTTTATCTAGTAACCCATCAATGTAATTTCTAAATCAAATTTATATCAATTACTATTAGATGACATACTGGTCAATTAAAATTTTTAAATGTATTATTAAAGAGATTTTGAATTTCTAACTCCAAACCCTAAAGGGTCTTATATGATTAGTTTAATTGCACGCAAATTGACCTAAACACATTTGAACAAAACAAAAAAAAAAAATCACATTTATATCACATGTTTTTACTTCTTTCAGTAATTGTAAATTAGGGCATGTTGTAGAGCTCCATATGTTTCTCCTTTTTGATTATATTAATCAACGAATATCACAATTTTAAGTCATGAAAACTTTAGATTAAACTTAAGTTTGAACATCCCCTTCTAGCTTGAATTTGACTTATTATTGATTCACTAAATACTATAGTATGTGAATTCAATGACTTGTAGCATTTCAGCGAAAATGATATTGTGATTTTTTTTTTTTTTTTTTTTTTTTTTTTTTTTTGGCTTTTGCTTTTGCTTATAGTATTCGTAATTTGGAGATCCACATACTACATTCATAAAAGTCAACAATATTTAAATGGATAACAAAGTGCTTTCAAAAACATTGCCGACAAAAACAGAACCTTAGCCAAATTCAACTCATTCTAATTTCAGTGTATGAGTCGTGTTGGGCTCTTAAATTGAAGAGAGTTAACTTGAAATTTTATACGAGTTTTCTCACTAAAGTTTAGATAAGGGGCGGTGAGGAAAGGAACAAGTATTAAGAAGAAAAAAAGGGCCCAAGTGAGGAAGGCTCTTGAAGAAGGAATATTGAAGAAGAAGTAGGAGCTAACGAGAGAAAAATTAAAAATTATAATTTATTAAAAAAAAAAAAAAAGGGAAATCTGAGAATTTTCCGGTAAAGGGGGTTGTGGCTATTTCTTTCCCCTCTTACTTCGTATTCGGTAGGAGATGAAGTCTCCAGCCGGCCTCAAAATTTTCCAAACCTTAGAAGAAGGATTGAAGAAGTAATAAATTGTTGCCATTTTCAGTAGTGCTCTGGATAAAAAACAATAAGTCTCTAGTAAAAATAAACATTTCAATGAGAATATATTTTATCATAATAATAAAAATATACCTTTCATTTCCAACATCCAACTTCAAATTTGAATAATAACAATAAAGAGTTTCTATCTTTAAAATATATTAATAACTGAATAATATCAGTTAAATTTGGATAGCTTTTGTATTCAATACAAGAATTTACTTGCATTGCAAGTATTATTATTGTAAACTTAAATGAACACAGGCTAGGGTGTACACAGGTCCAATTTTGGTGGTGATGGTGAAGATTCAAAATTAATTAGTAATTATTTTAACGATCTTCAGATTAGACTGATATTATTCAGAAATTAATATATTATCAAATATTATGCATAAATCAATTGTAACGTATAAGTTGAGGAATTCTTCTAAACGAATTCACCATTTCTGGATTTTAAGGCTTGTTGTAGTAATATACTAATATTATTAAGAGAAAGAAATAGATAACATCTTCTTGAAGAATTAATTTTTACCAAAAGAATTCTTTCAGGAAATATTATCTATTTTTTAGTCTTAATAATATTACTACAGGCAATGAGATTCCTGTTTTTTACGTACATAATTGATTTGTTAATTTCTTAGGTAGATTCCTGGTTAATTTTGTTGCCACTTTAAATTATGGTATAAGAAACGATAAAATACATTTTGATTAAGCTGATGAGAGAAAGAGGAAACTTAATTTACAGAAAATACAGGACGAAATTCTTATTAGTAAAGGAAAGATCAATAACATTGAGACATATTTTTTAATATCAAGTGCACAACTCATAAATTAATTAATGAACCCACCACACTGATTCACCCCTCTTCTTCACGTAAAATGATGCCGCAGACCTCCTCCTTTTGTTAATTACAAAATAGATATAACCAATTTAATTTACATTACTCTTTACTTTAAAATTTAATAGATAATGAGAATCAAAAAGCTGCTTCCAAATCTTGTATGCTTTTAAACTCAAAGATTGCAAGCTTCACCATCTCAGCTTGGCAGGGAAATACTGAAATAAATTTACAAATGAAAGTTAAATATTAATTGATGAAAACAACAAAGTGAAAGAAGAAATTAACAAGAAATGCAGGGACTCACTTTCTCAATGAGGGAAATATAGTATGGCTTTACTGCTTCAACATCAACAAGAACTTTGCTCTTACTGTATAAATCATATTTGCTGCAAATTTACAATTCCATAAGTTAGATTGATCTAATCGGCATTTAAGTATCAGGATTATAGAAAATAATCAAACTTACTTGAAAACATGGAGCCACTTGAGATTCTCCTTGTCCTTATCGTTCATGAGGTGTGTGTATGCACCCTCCTTGTGTAAAGCTGCAAATTTATGAAAACAAAACTTAATCTTAGTTTGCCCTAATCTGAATATATATAATGCAAATTATAGAAGTAATCAAATAAATGATGCTTACGGTAGAAGGAGTGATATCGGATGATAAACAATCCAGCCGAAGGGAGAGTTGTTCCATTCTCCTTGGCCACCTGTAAATTACAAAACATCCATAGACCATAGTTAGAATCTACTTCTTGAAAACCTGTTTGGATTATGATACAACCAATTCTTAGTTGAAAGTTTGGAAGATAGATATACCATGTACATATAATCGTCGTGACCCCATGATATCATTACATTGTCCAATCCACATCCCTCGGAGTAAATTCCATTCTTGGTGTTATAAGCAGGATTATTGTAATCTGCGTTTTCCTTGAAATACTGCAGAAATAAATGTTTAGAAATTTTCAATCAAATGGATATTATTTCATAATTCACCATAGCTATCTTGTTGAGTTTCAGTTCTAGAAGCAACTAAATATATACCTTGTTGTGAACATTGGCTTTATCAAAAGCGCAACCAAGAGGGAAAGTATCTCCTACAATATTTAACTCAGCAATTTAGTTGAGATAATTCGAAATTAAGTAATTAATATACAAAGCTAATCGCATTCTGGGGTCAAAATATAGTGCTCACCGACAACAGCCCATTGAGGAAGCTCTCCAAATTTAGGAAGAGTAAGAACCTTTCCCAGATCTGAAACATTGCATGATAAAATTTATCAATTAATATTACTTTTAGTCCCACTTGTAAAAATAAGATTAAAAAAAAAAAAAAAGAAACATGTTGTTCTTTCATTTCTGCTTCATTAAGGGAAGAGAAATATTTGATTAAACGGTGTTACGTAATTGATCTTTTGGCATTAATGGTTACTTAAAAGTTAAAAGGTAAGTAGTGAACAATGAAGAGTCAAAAGGTATATAAAATATTTTTAGAGATAATATTTTTAATACGACATGTAGAAAAGAATAAAGGAATCATAGAGGGACATATACCATGAATGAGAGCGGTCAAGTGCAACCAATCTTCATCAGGATAATCCTTTCTAATCGCTTCAGCAGACTGCAATAAATGCTGAATTTGGGGTTCATCCAAGTCAGGATCACTTTCATCCACAACTTCATTCAGGAGTTCACAGCATTCCCATATGCTCATCTCTGCTTTGTCCAATTTCTCATACTCTTCCCTCATTCTCTTAACCTGTCATTATTTTCATCAAATGAGATCAGAACATATCCATCCAAACTATATAGTTCTCTTGTTTACGCGTGTAAAACATCATGGAATTTTATGTGCTTACAAAGTCATATGTTTGGTTAATGTGCTGCAACCGATAAAATTCTTCAACAGTCTTTTGCCTTTCACTTTCTGCATTATAATCCCTACAAGGCGTTTCCATTACTCCAGGTCAGATTTCATTCAGCAAGAACCGAGCCAATTATTCAGCAAGAGAAAATTGAAAACGGTAAAAAGAAATTAAAACCTGAAAGTTTGGCCAAATGAATTGATCTCTGGAGCCACAAATGCATCACTTGTCAGAACTTTCGGCACCGTGAAACCGCCATCTAATACCAACTCATTCTTATTCTTCTGCTCAACTTGTGAAACTGGAATCAAGAAAATACAAACATCAACAAGAAAGTACTGGTGATTTCGGATATAAAGAAAACAATTGTAAACTATCAAAACCATTTCCACTTTTTAACCAGAAGAAAAAGAAAAAGAAAAAGAAACTTAAAAGAGCGAAAATGGTACCAAGGGCGGACTGCTCAATGAGGATAGTCATCTTCTCTAAAGGAGGAAAAACGCTCTTAAATGACTAACGCAAAAAAAGGTACAGAGGTGGTGTGGCGAATGATGGCTCATGATACAAGTATTTATAGTAATTCGCTGAAAGGTCCTTCCTTGGAATTTGGAATGTTTGGAGTCCTTGAATATCCAAAAAGAAAAATCTTACAAGTCCTTAAATGAAAATCTTACTAAACTATTTTGTCCAGGAGAGCAAAGTTCGGATCAGAACAATACAAACATGTGACAAATAAGACTAAACTAACTCTCCTTATAGCGCGTGCCTTACACCCTCCTATCAAAATAATAATCTAAAAAAATGGAGCAAATCCCATAATTGTCCGTTCATATTTGTTAATTAAAATAAAAAAACGTAAAGAATTAGGTGAAACATAATCTAAAAATTGAGATCAGAGGCTGAGAATGGGGATGCATATATGGGAAGATTACACCCAATAAAAACTACTAAGTGTGGAGTAGGAACTGACTCAGCTTTACGTAGATATCACATCTTATTATAAATCAAACTTGGACTCTCTGACGCAGCATCTACTCATGTCCAACCAATCAACCTTTGACTTTTCTTGGTTGGGGGATTTGCAATCAACGGCTGAGCTGTGACTGTTAACACTTGAATTGAATGGTTAATAAAGTAAAACGGACGATGTACATTGTACAACGTCAGCAACTTGTGAAAGCCGTGTGTTATTTTCAGGAGGGATTTCCTTAGTGGTTAGAAGAAATTGCAAGTTGCTGGTGATAGAGGGAGCCAGCAGAGATTTTTGTTAGTTTATTACTTTATTGCGTGCCGGCTATTGTAAATTATATAACCGACACATTGGTCGCTATAGTGACAGATAATACTTGTGGAAGTGGTGCGGTTCTTAAATATTTGTGGTTTTTATAAAAGTAAATGATGTAATAAAATTTAAAACGTGGTCTGGAATAAGAACAAACGGTGATCTAATTTCAAAATTCTGAAAAAGTTGATAGCTACTTGACATTGTTTAGATCTTTTCCAAATAAAATCGGTGTCAGCCCGTACAAATACAACTTGTTACCTGTTACCTTGTGGTATAATGAATTATTGAATGAGAGGTTGATGATAATAAGTTTTTTTTTTTTTTTTTTTTTATTACTCGGCCGAGCCAGTTTGTGTGGTAGTTCAATTAATTTTTTAGGGTTTTAGAATTGTTAACAGGATAAAATACTTAATAGTTATCTTTATTAATGTTTGGAATGACTCGAATTCAAGAGTTTATAAAAACTTACTCTTTTATCATCAGGTCACCTAGGGGGTGTTTGTCTGAGCTTATAAAAATTAGCTTATAAGCAATTGAAATTTTAAACAATTATGTGTTTGATTAAAGTACTTATAAGTGACTGATAAGTAGTTGACGTGTTTGATAAAATGTGGCTTATAAGTAAATTTTATTATAAAATGACTAAAAAAAGGTACTATATTAAATAAGGGTATACTATAGAATTTTAAAATTAAACAAGGATAATATGGTAATATACTTGGTCAAACTAACTTATAAGCAGAGTGCTTATAAGCAAGAAAAAATAAGTATCTCCCCCCCAATTTATTTTTTTTGACTCATAAGTTCAAAAAAGTTATAAACAAACAGGTCGGCTTAATTTTAGAACTTATAAGCTAGTTTGACAAACTTATAAGCTTAGACAAATACCCCTCTAGTGGTGGTTCATGATAATAAGATTAAAATATTGAATGTGTACCAAAATAATAAAACTAAATTAACAAAAATGTTAATGATATTTAAAGTGAGATTTCGTAATGCTTTCAATGATGTTGACAAAAACTTTAACATTATTTTTGAAATCACATGATTCAAACCCTAATATGCTTTAATCGTATTTGGTCATCCATTCCGTTCTTATGATTTAAGAAATATAACATTTCTTATTGTAAAATATGCTTATCATCAATGCTTATTTCCTTCTTATATTTTAACTCTATAATTGATTATTAATTATTGTAGAATGAACATCCTATTCTCAATTCAAGGTCACGGCTTAACTAGTACACTCATCTATTTAAACTGCCTCATTGGCTACCTAATTTTCTTAATTACTATTTTCAGAAATATCTCACTAAAATTATTAATAAGGTCATGATATGATACTTCATTTATCATGGAAAAATAAAATACTAAAAATATTATTCTACTTCAAAGTGGGAAGTCAACTGTATTTCTCATTGACACTCAAAAATAATAATCCTAACATTATGGATAATCTTCCATTCTTTGGTTCCCTATAAATAAATATCTTTAATTAATTTAGAGTCCTAAGTGAAACTTGTCTAAAATAATTTCGCTGGGACCATATAAATTCATCACTTTAGAGTTTAGACTGATTATAATATAATATGCGTTTAAAAGAAATCCACATTCGACTATAGACGGAGATATTTCGAAATTCGACATAATGAATTGAGAAATTGGGTTTTTTAAATAAACTTAGCTAAATTCATTAAACATAAAATAACAATATATATGTTATGGTGTGTGTGTCTGTGTCTATATATATATATACATTATGCAATGTTCTTAAACCCAGATCGAACCGGTCAGTCGAACTGGTCTGACCAGGTTTTGGCCATCATTACAACATTATGCATTTTTAGTTATGACATTCATTATATCTAAAATATGAATTTGCATAGGTAAATGGTTTAACTAAAAATGCAATTTTTTTGTAGCTTATCGTAGCTAGAATTGGCGTATCTAAAAGTTAGCCATATAACTTTTTGTTTATATAGCTAACAATTTATATTTTTTTTTTTACTGTGGATGAGATTAATATGTAACTAAAAACTTAAATGTTTTTGTCATAACAATAATAAGCTTTGCCTTTATAGCCATGGAGAATATTATGTATAGCTATGTTTGCATTTTAGCTACACAAATATAAATTTACAACTAAAACTTGAAAATTCCTGCTACAAAAATGATATCCACGGTAAATATATTAACATTTTAGCTACTTGACCACTAAATTCGTAACTAAATAAAAAGATCATTTGCCACATATATAATGAATTCGTAGCTAAATATTAAATTATTTGTTACGGATATATAGAAGTCATATCTATATATGAAAAGATATTGTTATGGATATAGTATGTTAATAGCTAAATATTGAAATTACTTGCTATGAATACTTTTGATTTGTAACTAAATATTATAATTATTTACTATGGACATATTAAAGTCATATATATATATATGAAATTCATTTGCTATGAACATAGAGTGTTAATAGCTAAATATTGAAATTACTGCTATGAATACTTTTAATTTGTAACTAAATATTATAATTATTTGTAATGAAATAAATAATTTATATCAAGAATTTATAATTTATTGTTTCGATTAAAATTATTTGTAACAAATATTGCTATAATTAACAAATTTAATAATAATTACAAATTTATAGCAATTTTTTTATACTAAATAGATGATATGACGTCATATGAAAAATTCTAATATAAAAAATAGAACATTAACAAAGTCATTTTCAACCAAATAATTGTTTACTCGTAAAATCCTTCATCCTAGTAATTTAAAATGTTATCAACTAATTTTTTTTTATAAAATATGAATGCTTCAATGTCATAGCAATCTTTCCTGACCATTTAAGAATTTCCACCAACTTGCAATATCAAATTTGAAAAAGCAAATTAGATTAATCATATAGATTATTCACAAGTGTACGAAATCGTGCAAGTAGTAAAGCTCAAGTAAACGAGTGTCGAATCCCAAGAGAACTACTTATCAAGTACCAAACTAATCTATTTGATAAAACAGAATTTTAAGAATAATTTAATAAAAAATAAAACAAACTAAAAACTAAACAAAAGCAGAATTGTATTAATACTTTGGTAAAAAAATCAATATGACTAAACCTAGGGCACATATTTCACACCAATTTAATCCTATGCATTGACAATTATTGCTAACCTAAATAAGTTTATTCTAAAGGACAAACTCTATAATATTTCACTAAATTTCTCTCAAACAATTAGCGAATTAACCCTTAAGCAACCAACATCTACACTAAACTTAACATAAATCCCAAAATATATAAATAAACATAACAAGAACAAAAACTAACAAAAATTCTTGGATCAATCATAAAGTTGTCTAAAAAATCACATATACACAAAACAAATAGAATAATTAAAAATTGCCTAAACTCACAGACAATGCAAACGTCAATTCCATTTTCGTTATCAACCCTAGAATATCCATACAACCTCAAACCATTAGTCTACAAACCTGGATGGTTTTATGAGTAACATTCATGAACAAAATTTTGATCTCAGTATTCGGGTTATAACTTAAATATGAATCATGGAATCAAACTCCATATGCTCACTTTTCAAACCACTCTCCACTAATGTAGAAATTCATACTACCTTGGATCAATAGGTCTTTGTATAGGTTGTAACGTTAGGCTAGGGTATGGGTTCATGAAAGAACGAAAAGGGAATTCAACAAAAATCAAATTAAGAGACTTAATCTTCATTCATTCTTATTACTATCATACAAAAACACTTCCCCTTTTCACTCAGTAGCTTCCCAACCTTTATCGAGCTCTTTCTTTTCGACACTAATATAACCTCATTTGCATAATTTTACATCTTCATAATGCTTTTCAATGCCCACTTTTCTTTTCTTCCTTTTTTCTTTCATCATTCATTTTTTGTTTTTCAAATTTTTTTTCTTTAGTTTTTTTTTTAATAATAAAAAGAAAGTAGAAAGTACACACAACCCCACCTTGATCTTACAAACACTCAACAACCCCCAAAAAATTTCTTCATTTAAACCTAGGTTGTGGCAAAACTACACTTCCTCACCAAAACTCGTAATAGGTTTGATTTACAATTAAGTTCTTAAAGATAAAATGGGTGAGATTGTGTTTTAGGCTCATAATCAGGGTAGGGCAAAAATTAAGTTCAAAGAAAGAAAAACAAGACTAAATTGTGCTTAAAAAGACTCAAAGGGTTAACTAGCGATGATAATAAAAATGGTCAGCTTGAAAGACTC